TCTAGACAGCATGACTGCTCAGGATGTTGAGTTTAACAATTTTGGGTAAAGCAATTAACAGCAATAATAGTAATCACCCCAATAGTAATAAGCCCAATTTCTGTTTTCTTATATGAAATAGAAATGTTAATCTGCTCTGAATCCCCTCGAGGAGATAGAGCAGAATATAAATAAAGTCTTCTTCTTCTTCTTCTTCTTCTTCTTCTTCTTCTTATTATTATTATTATTATTATTATTATTATTATTATTATTATTAATCTCAAAGTAATTGGAGGGAGGATAAACACTGATTCAAGACAGGTGTTTAAATATTTTAGGCTACTGTAGACTCAGCAAAGGGACAGCATGCACTGCCTCATTTAATAAGTTTTGGCATTGAGGACAAGGGAAAGTTGTGGCCAAACACAATCTGAATTTGTTGTCCTTTGAAAAGAAGCATTCCCATCCTTTCTCCTAACATTCTTGGCAAAGGGTCCCTGTTTACTCAGCGTATGCTCTGCAAGACGACCAGTTTGAAGGTAAATGACTTTGTGCTCATTGGTGCAGAGTGACCTGATGCATAGGTTGCCCCTGATTCACGCCCTTGTAGGTGCAAGGGATAATGACGGAGTAACCACATGAGGTCCCATACAGCTCTGTGGTACTGTTGTTGACTTGGCTAGCTGTATTATTATATAGTGCCAGATTTACTCCTTGACCAAGCTGTGTTTGTTCAATATGAAAACAAGTGATTCTATGAAACTGGGGTGTACAACATAGTACCCATATTTGCTAGAGATATGTTACATGGTGGATACCTCCGACCATGAATCATGTATTTTGATTACAACTGTGCTGAAAGCATAAAGTAGCACTGGAGGACTCAGAGATGCCCTTCCAAGAGGAAATAGTTTTTGAAGTATGGGATATGTGAAACTCTGGATATCATACATGGATATTCATACTCCAAAAACTGTTTCCTCTTGGAAGGACGAATCTGAGTCCTCCAGTGCTATTTTATGTTTTCAGTATAGATATGTGAAACTCTGGATATCATAGCTATGGTAGTAGCCTCTGGTGGCGCAATGGGTTAAACCCGTGTGCTGACAGGACTGCTGACCAAAAGGTTGGTGGTTCGAATCTGGGGAGCGGGGTGAGCTCCCATCTGTCAGCTCCAGTTCCTCATGCAGGGACATGGGAGAAACCTCCCATAGTATGGTAAAACATCTGGACACCCCCTGGAAAATGTCCTTGCAGATGGCCAATTCTCTCACACCAGAAGCAACTTGCAGTTTCTCAAGTCACTCCTGACACAGAAAAAAAATAGCCATGGATAAGCAGATCATACTACATTTTCTTCCCTTTGGCTCATGACTTGAATTAGCTTTCATCAACCTAGTATTTTACAGAACTTTTGAAATTCAATTGCCATGACCCTTCCTATCTGGCAAAGAGAAATGTAGACAAAAAAAACAACCCACAAAGCACCAGTGGGGTAAAACTGCTTTGATGGAGAAGAAACAATGTGGTACTATTATTTCTAAGGTAAGCCAGACTTCTGTTCCCTACTTATAAAAATAAAACAAAATGTCTCTGACAGCCATAACAGTATTTTGGATTGTCATCCAAGTGCAGTGCCCAGTTTCAATTCAAAATTTCCAAGCAAAGAGTTCACACTTTGAAGACAAGGGACTCCATAATTCTGCAGTAAATTTGGTAGATACCTTTACATTTGACTAGGTACATTACCTAGTCAAGTTTAGGGTCCACTGGATGACTTTGGACTAATTGCTGCCCTAAAGCTTGCCTCAAAGGGTTGTTGTAAAAAAAATGTCAGAAGGAAACCATGAAAGTTGTTCTGAGTTTGGTTGGTTTTTTTTTTTTTTTTTTGGAGGAATGGCAGACTATAAATAAAATCTGAAGTGGCCCATCTCATCTGGATTTCTGTGTGGATTTCTGTCTGGCTTTCTATGTAACATGTTACATTTCTATGTAACATTTTCAGCTTTTTAAAAGCATCATTGCATTGTGTCAAAATCAACATGACTAGCCTTGAAAAGGAGAAAGAGAAAGTACCACATGGATTGGAAATGTCTTTCTGTAAATTCTAATAATTAAACGGCTAGTCAAGTGAGTTTAGTACTATCAGCAATGAAAGACAGTAGCTTTCTAGGATTCCTAAAATGTGATCTTTCTCAGCCGTATCAGGAAAACCCGGAGACTGAAGCTGCAAAGTTCTGTAAGGGAAAAAACCCCAATGTGCTCCACTATTGAAACATATGCTCATCCTTATAGTAATCTCCCTAAGCATAAGATTAACTACAGAAAGGGATTTTATTTCTCAGCTTATAGCTGAAGTAGTCACACGTTTCTAGGAATTTGCAAATTTTGGATGTTGATTGCAGTTTAAGCAGTCCGTTCATGAGCTTTCTCCCAGCAAACTAAAATGGGTTACTGTGAGTTTTCCGAGCTGTATAGCCATGTTCCAGAAGCATTCTCTCCTGGCGTTTTGCCCACATCTATGGCAGGCATCCTCAGCGATTGAGAGGTCTGTGGGAATCTAAGCAAGTGAGGTTTATATATCAGTGGAATGTCCAGGGTGGGAGAAAGATATTCCGCATTCCACAGATATATAAACCCCATTTTCCTAGTTTCCAACAGACCTCACAATCTCTGAGAATGCCTGCCATAGATGTGGGCAAACCATCAGGAGAGAATGCTTCTGGAACATGGTCATACAACCTGGAAAACTCACAGAACCCAGTGATTCCAGCCATGAAAGCCTTCGACAACATATAATATCCAATATTTTATACTCAAGACTGCCTTGACCATACAAATAGACAAAGCAATTCCCCGGGGTGCAGCAAAATGTAAGGGATATTCTCCATGTTAGGATTAATTCAAGTTTTCACAGTTTTAACAGTATGGGTAGATTTAAGTTTGACGTGTTTGTACACACCAACATCGGTGTTTGGGACAGGCTGGGGAATCTATGATGTTTATGATTTGCTTGTTCCTGCTTTGCATCCTCCCCCCCCCCCACCCCATGCACACACAAAAGCCAGCTCTGTTTACTTTTTTATATCTATTGTTCCATTCTGTTTGAAAAAATACCTCTTTCATTCCTGTACCAAACTTTCCTTGTAATACCACTTGAGCAAAGTAACTGGACAACATCACAAACTGTACATGGAATCAGTGCCATTTGACAGAATTAGGTAAGATTCGTATATCTATCTGTCTTCTGTATGATCCTATATTAATGTGCTAGAATATTATGAGCAAAATTAAATACTTTTGTCTGTTAAATGCTTGATTAATTTCCTTCTGTTGTTTCCTGGAATGTGAGTTTTGGTTAGCCTATGAAAGGTGCATATATTAAGCTAAACACAAGTAAGCTGACGCAGCATGCCTATTCTTATTTTGTGATCATCTGAAATCAGGCAAAGAAAACTTGGATTCGGAAGATCCTAAAAATGCATGTGTCTTAGTAATAGGTTTCCATGACAATTTAAGGCTGGAGAGGAAGCCATGAGAAACAACCTTGAGATGTGGATAAATGGAATACAGCTAGTCAACATGTTCTGCAGGAACAGAGAAAGTTGCCATTTTATTAAGACAGATCACTGATCCTTTTAGTTCACTATATCAAGAAGTGGGGGATTTATGGCTCTACAGATTATTTCAGACTACAGTTCCAATAAGCCTTAGCCTGCACAGCCAGCATGAGGAATGATGGGAGCTCCCGGCAACATCTGGAGGGCCACATTTTCACACTATGGCACCATTCATACAACACAAGTACAGCATTATTATTCCACTTTAATTACTATAGCCCTATCTTTTTGGGTCTCCCCCGTGGGGAGAAAAAGTGAGGTATATATAAACATAATCATCATCATCCTTGGAATCCTGAGGTATATAGTTTGATGAGGCACTGGAGTGTTGTTGTTGTTGTTATATTTATTTATATCCTGTTTTCTCTCTCCATAAAGTGACTCAAAACAACTGGAAATTCTAAATAACCTTCCCTAAACTACAACTAAGCAGAGTCAGCCTGGTTAGTGTTTGGATGGGAGACTACTAACGAATACCAGGTGCTGTAGGCTAGATTCCAGAGGAATGAACTGGTAAAAACCCCTTTTATCAGGATTCCTTGTATAAGGGAAACCTATGACATTCATGGGGTCAACATATGTCGACAGGTGACTTGAAGGCAAACACATATACACATAAACCACACATCCTAGGACTCCAAATGATGGAGCCATGGCAGTTCAAGTTGCACAACAGCACTATAATTTTGTAGTATGAATAACTCGCATGTCTCTGTGTGTGCATTTATGTTTGGCAGACAAAGGGTTGCATTAGGTTTTGTGTAATCAAGTTAAAAGCCTTTGTTCCATCTTTGTAGAGTCAGTGGCAAGACAATGTGTGCCTGAAGTGTATAAAGGAAATATTTCACTATAGCAATAATGTTATTTGAAAGATGATCCCTCTCTCTTTTAGTACGTTTTCCATTTGTCTCTGTGAATGTTTACACCTTCCTTTCTAAAGATTTTGATATCTCTGATCTGAATTCTGGAGAAATCGGTAACCTTCAGTCCAAGTTCTCTATTCCTGCCCTGAAACTAGTGATTAATTGTGATTGTTTTATGGTAGCTAAACACACTTACTAGAATGTACAGTGAGTGCACAGTAGCCCTTGGAAGTTGTTTCCCTGTTAAGGAAGTCAGAAATGTTCTATAGCTGCAGAAAAATAGATCACAAAGCTTGAAGTTTGGTAAGAGTGGGTAATACATGTCATCTCATCTGAAAGCCACCCTAAGTATCCATTTAAGTTTTCAAGAGAGGTGTGCCAGCTGAGCTCATACATATTTCTGTAAAAAGGCAAAAGAAAAACAATCTCTCTCCCCTTCCCCTCCCCATTTTGAATAATGGAACCCAAATTAATTACTTCCCCAATTTTTATTGTCTGTGACGGAACTTGTTTTTCTAGTGCATTGTGCCAGTCTTCACTGCACTGGAAGGTCTGCAAGACTTTTTCTTACAGTTATTGAGAGAGCTTCAGGGTCTCTTTTCTGAGCAGACATCAAGAAAGGTATGTCTGAAACACTTCTGCAGATAGATGGGTGTGTGTATGCTCAGAAGGGCTGGAAGCTCATGGTGTGCTTGGAAGCTTGGAACGCAAGACCCTCTTTGGCACTCTCCCTCTGGATTGCTCCTCATGATTAGCTGCTGATAAATAAATGCACTTTGGTGTTGCCCTGGAAGGCAGTCCGAAATGTGAGAAGGGTCAGGGCAAAAAGAAAGGATACTAATAAGATGATTTGGATGCATCATTTTACCAGTCCTTTGTTGTGCAAAGAGGACTCTAGTATTTTGTTCCTGAGGTTTCCTGCATCCAGTATGTTTGGAACTAAAGCATCAATGGATTGAGCTGATCTATGTAGCTGTAGATGAGGCACCTACATTAATTGGTCTGATGTCGCTTTAACTGTCATGGCTTCGTTTTTCACAGGGTCCTTGGATTTGCAGTTTGTTTGAGTACATAGTGCTCTTTGTCTAGCACCTGCTAACAAAGAATTCTAAATACCCAACACACAAGAAATCTCTAGATTCTATAGGATGCTATCAACTTATGATATCTATATAGTACAGCTATATAGCAGGGATCTGGTTCTTACTTACTTACTTACTTACTTAGGCGATCCCTCGTTGGACGAGTAAGATGGTCTTCCATTATGGATTTCCTTTTGGGTCCGTATGTGGCTGTGGAGCCCTATTCTTGCTCTGCATCTTCTTCCGCAGTGAGGGCATTGGTTTCCAGGTGGAAGGCGGTCCCGGTTGGGGTTGGCTTGACGCGCTTTCCTCCTGGCATGTTTCTCTCTTTCACCCTCCACTCGTGCCTCCTCAAATTCTGCAGCACTGCTGGTCACAGCTGTCCTCCAGCTGGAGCGCTCAAGGGCCAGGGCTTCCCAGTTCTCAGTGTCTATGCCAGAGTTTTAAGGTTGGCTTTGAGCCCATCTTTAAATCTCTTTTCCTGTCCACCAACGTTCCGTTTTCCGTTCTTAAGTTCGGAGTAGAGCAACTGCTTTGGGAGACGGTGGTCAGGCATCCGGACAACGTGGCCGGCCCAGCGGAGTTGATGTTGGAGAACCATCGCTTCAATGCTGGTGGTCTTTGCTTCTTCCAGCACACTGACGTTTGTCCGCTTGTCTTCCCAAGAGATTTGCAGGATTTTCCGGAGGCAGCGCTGATGGAATCGTTCCAGGAGTTGCATGGGGCGTCTGTAGACAGTCCACGTCTCACAGGCGTATAGCAGGGTTGGGAGGACAATAGCTTTATAAACAAGCACCTTGGTATCCCTACGGATGTCCCGGTCCTCAAACACTCTCTGCTTCATTCGGAAAAATGCTGCACTCGCAGAGCTCAGGCGGTGTTGTATTTCGGTGTCGATGTTGACTTTGGTGGAGAGGTTGCTGCCAAGGTAGCGGAAATGATCAACATTTTCTAATGTTACACCATTAAGTTGTATTGCTGGCATTGGAGAGGGGTTGGCTGGTGTCTGCTGGAACAGCACCTTGGTTTTCTCAATGTTCAGTGACAGGCCGAGCTTCTCGTATGCTTCTGCGAAGGTGTTTAGAGTGGCTTGTAGATCTTCTTCTGAATGCGCACAGACGACATTGTCATCAGCATACTGGAGTTCTATAACAGCTGTTGTTGTAACCTTGGTTTTGGCTTTCAGTCTGCTGAGGTTGAATAGCTTGCCATCTGTCCGATAGATTATTTCCACTCCGGTGGGAAGCTTCCCATCAACAAGGTGAAGTATCATAGCGATGAAGATGGAGAATAGAGTTGGGGCAATAACACATCCCTGTTTGACACCGATTCCACCTTAAATGGGTCACTTTGGGAGCCACTGCTGTCCAAGACTGTTGCCATCATGTCATCATGGAGGAGCCGCAGGATGTTCACAAATTTGTTTGGGCACCCGTTTTTGTGGAGGATGGTCCAGAGAGCGCTGCGATTCACTGTGTCGAATGCCTTTGCAAGGTCGATGAATGCCATGTACAGAGGTTGGTTTTGTTCTCTGCATTTTTCTTGGAGCTGTCGTGCAGTGAAGATCATGTCCACGGTTCCTCTGGAGGGGCGGAAGCCGTTCTGGGATTCTGGGAGGGTGTCTTCTGAGAGGGGCAGAAGGCGGTTTGCAAGGATTCTTGCGAGGATTTTCCCAGCGGAGGTTAGAAGGGAGATACCTCGATAGTTTCCGCAGTCTGTTCTTTCCCCTTTTTTTGTCCTCCTTAGGTATCCCCGATAGGACGGTGTCCAGCTGACAGTAGAATTTCTCCTTGATGTCTTCGTCAGCATCTAGTGTTGGTGCATAGGCACTTATGATGGTTGCCCGTTGGTTTTTGGCAAGATCGATTTGGAGGGTTGAGAGTCGTTCGTTGATGCCAGTGGGTGCTTCGGACAGATGTTTCATCAGATCATTTCTGATGGCGAAGCCAACTCCGTGCATTCTTTGGTCTTTTTTCGGGCAGTCCCTTCCAGAAGAAGGTGTAGCCTCCTTTTTCTTCCTTCAGCTGTCCCTCTCCTGCTCTCCGGGTCTCCTGAAGGGCTGCTATGTCGATGTTGAAGCGTCCCAGCTCCCTTGCAATGATGGCAGTTCTGCGTTCGGGGCGTTCACTGCCACTGTTGTCCATCAGAGTCCGTACGTTCCACGTACCGAAGTTCATTTTCCTTTTTTGGCCGCAGGGTGGTGACCCCACTGGACGCGGCAGTCCAGTCAGGGATAAGTGAGGCAGACTATGTTTAGGGCACCTTTTCTAGCCCCCTCCCCATGTGGGGTGAGCAGAGTGGGTCCTCAATAGGGCTGCTCAGTCGTGGATACAGCTGCCGAACTACTCAACTGCCTCGGACCTTGAGGTAGAACGACTGAGTCCGTACCCACCGCCCATGTGCCAGTCTGTGACTAAGGGCTTCCAGATTTCACAGTCCTGCCCCCGTCGCCACTCGCTGATCGCCATGGGACTTTGGTTGGTTTGTTTTTATTTTCTTTGGAAGACGCCTGTGCGTGGGTTTTTTTAATGTGTGGAGGTCAGTGCACAACTGATCAACACACAGACTTCACAGAGTGAGGTTCCACTGGTGATGTAGTTTGACACAATGACCGTGGCTTCTCAGTCTGTTGCAGCCTTCTTCCGCCTTCGCAGCCGTTGTAACATGTGCCATGTTATCCTCCGCCTGCTCCGCCGTTGAGGTCTTTGGGGGATCTGGTTCAGGAGTACAAGGACAGCAGAAATCCTTTTCCCCAAACTCATCAGAATGCCATATTCTTAGGTGCATCTGCACTGTAGACTTAATGCAGTTTCAAACACTTTAACTGTTGTGGTGCAATGCTGTGGCATCATGGGAGTTGTAGTTTTACAAGCCTTCATTGCCAAAGAGTGATGGTGTCTCACCAAATTACAAATCCCAGAATTCCATAGCACTGAGCCGTGACAGTGGTGTCACTGCATCAATTCTACAGCGTAGATGTATACTTAAGAGTGTAATTGTGCCTTTTGTTTTTATCTGCATTTATCTTGAGCCTGTACTGTGTGTCTGTTTCAGGCACAAAAGCTATGGCAGAATCACGTGGGCAGGAAAGAGGAGGCATGGTCATGGGGCAGCAGCAGTGCTTTGTTTTCTTTTTACATTGGGCGGAGGAATTTCAAGTGTGGTGCTGAATGTTGATGATATAGGTATAGGTGTGAATGTGCTGCTACATTGCTAAGTTTCCCCCTTTTACTCTTTCAGATTTTCCAGCTTGTGTACTCCAGATCCCATATACCAGATAGGCTAATTTGTATACCAGTGACTGATGTTTTTGCTGACTTTAACACACGTAGTTTTATTGAGTGCTATTATACAGCACAAAGGAAGAAAAATATGGCAATCTAAAAGTAAAATATTAAATTGAACCATTTCATGATTGACCCATTAACTACAATTTCTGCCCAAAATTTAGCTATATAGCTACGTGTGACCAATGTCTTAAACTCTCTACATCCCCCTAAATTGCAGAGATTTCTTTATTTAGGTGATGTGTTTTATCAGTTAGACATAGCACTCATGGAACCATTTTAAAGCGTATGCTTTATGTGATGTAATTATATTTCTATGGGGAAGTTATTCCAACTTCCCTCTGAGATTATTATACTCAGATAATTTTCCTATGCAAATTTTGCACCTTCTTTGTTAAGAGTTTTATAGAGTACACACTCCCATTTCATAATTCTGTTATTATCAAAACAACTGGAGGCATTTTCAGCTATTCTTTCTTGTGAACAATGAAAAACAAATACTGGCTCCTTTGAAAGGGTGGCAATGGATTACCAAAAATACCTGAGGAGAGAATCCAAGAACCAGGAAACAAATGTGTCTTTACAAACCACTAAATTCATATCAGACCAAGAAAGAAACTCCACTGGGGCCAGAAACTCCATGGGCATCTCCACACAAAAAAAGAAGGCTTCCTGCTTTGTCAATCCCATTCCATATACAGAAAACAAATGGATTGGGAGTTAATCGTATTTTATCATTACATTGGCCTTGATGAAATCAATACCAGAGCCTCAATTACCTTGACAGCCTCTTCAACGGGTAGGGAAGCAACGAGGGCCAAAACTTACAAGATTCTTGATCACTGTAGAAAAGGAGGTCACTAAGATGTGTTTTGCAGAAACATATATCTTCACACCTGCTGCACAGATGTTGTGTACCTGACTATAAGGGAAACATTGAAAAGGACTTTGAGGAGAAATAAAACTCTCTTGTCCAAGGCACAGCAAAAGGACAGTGACAAACCTGCTGTGACTTGATCTTCTTCAAGCCTGGAGCCTGGGAAATCACCCAAAACAGGCAGTGAACCTCATTAAAGGATATGTACTGATAACGGGTGCGCACTGATAAAACATGATTGCCTAATCAATCGTGTTGTATAGGTTATAAGCCACTTAAACATGCTCCTCTTCTTTTATTGTTTTCCTGTCCTGCACACAAAAGAAAAATATGGTATTCTGAAGCTTGTCCAACTCAAGTTGGCAAGGATCTTACTTGAGTTGACTGATGTTTGTTTGGACCAGGGAGAGGTAACTTTTGACCTAACAATACCCAGCATGGCCAAAACAGCAGGAGGGCTAAAGATTTATCACCTATGATGTAGAGCAGGATGGACAACTGCGGCAAGTTTGGAGACAACCTCTGCATCCTGGTACTCTCTGGATGTTGCACGGATTACTAAAAATATTACTTCTCAGCCGTTTGGCTAAAATCATGGGTAATAATGAGAAATAAAACAACAAAAACAACAAAACCAAAATGTCTGAAAATCCAATTCAGAGTGTCAGAAATTATATTTTAAAGGCCTTACAACCAATTTAAAAGGTCAGTTATAGCACCCGGACTCTTATAAGAGAAATAATCCACTTTCTTCTTTTGGCCAGGAAAAGATAAGTCTAAAGATTCTGGAGGTGTCCTTGGCCATGAAAATATCATTGGATGCTACATTTTGTTCACATTGGATGTAGCACAATCCTTTTCTTCCTATGGCAGTCATCCAAAATCATACTTTTCAAAGGCCTCCATTTGGTAGGAATACCCCTGATTAATCCTGTTGTCCTACTTTTCAGCTGTTTTCAAAAGTATCCCAAGTTCCCTTATTTTTCTTCCATTGGCCTTATTTTCTTCAGTTGCTGCAAGAAAATTAGACTGCTCAATTAAATCAGGCAGGAGAAGAGGAAAGGAAAAGGTGGAATCTTGCCCTTCCCAATGGGTTTAGGCAAAAGTAAGCTACTGTAGCTTCTTCTAGTGTCTGTGTTCTTCCTGATTAATAACATTTGTCATCTAGACCACACTCGGATATCACTTGTTTACACAAGTTCTAGTTTTAAATTGTAAAATATTAGAAGGCAAGTAACATGCATGTGGGCTACAAAATAACACAGAGCACTTTCTCCAATTCTACTTCCAACAGGTATGACACAAGAAAGACCCAGCATCTTGTATTTTCAGACCCTTCCTCTGCTCTTCCCTGATCTCTGGAAATATGGCATGTTGACCCTCTCCATCCTCCTGTTGCTGGTAGCACTAGTAATTTTGACTTGTCAGCTATGCAAATGCTGGAAATTCAAAAAATCCCAGAAAGGTAAGCCTCAGAAAATGGTGTGTTGGTTTTCCTGACTGGTCTTTCATTCATCCTGCTTCCATAAACCCTCTCCCTCATCTGGCCTTCCATCCAGTTGCTAATGAAGCAAGAAAGGTAGCATGTTTCCGACCTTCTCAAGCTGGATCTTGCATTCGTTTGATAAAGGAACTGACAGTGACCCCACTTCTCATTGCTTCTGCTTTCATTCTCTCTTTTTTTATAATAATTTTTATTGATTAATCACAATTGCTACATTTGTTATACATTTGTTATTACTGTTACATTTTATACAACACACTCTCTTTAACATGTTATTTATTGTTCTGCTTAAATATTTTCCCCCTTTTTATTTTCACCACAGTGCTCCCCTCCACCCGTCTCAAGCCACAATTTTTACATATCATCTGTCCAAAATCTCATTTCTTCTTGTGACGGTAACTTTCCTTCCTTATTTTTTAAACCATTTACCACGAATTTTCCCCATACAGCATCAAAGTCGCTTTGTTTCCATATACTTTTTTAAACCTTTAATATACATGTCAGCTTATCATTTATTGCTAATTTCCATGCTTCCTTATACCACTCCTCTATTTGTATATTCATTTCTTTCTTCCAATTCCTTGCTATAAGCAATCTTGCTATTGTTAATAAATTTGTTATCGCTTCTTTATCCTCCTTTTTCAATTGCTTCTTATTATATAATGATAATAAAGCTATACTAGGACTTTTATCAATTTTAATATTCATTATATCTTCTATTTCTCTAAATACCTTCTCCCAAAAGTTATTTACATATTTACATTGCCACCACATGTGTATATATGTTCCTGGTTCTTGACACCCTCTCTAACAATTTATTGAGTTATTTTTATTCATATATGCTATTCTTACTGGTGCTTCTGCTTTCATTCTCAAAAGGTGTTTTGCCAGGCTTTCCATGCATTCTCTGCTAGTTTGGCCCCATGATAGATCAACAAAAAACCCCAATGGTAAGGTCATGGAGGGTAACCACCCTTCTCAGCTAAGAAGGCCTAAAAAGAATTGAAGGTCCAAAGCTCCTGTCCCCAGAGTCCCTTCATGTGCTAATTATGTTCTAGATCCAAATATTTTTTTCATAAGACAATATCTTTATTATGATCAACATAACAAACTGCACAGGATTTCACAAATGGGGCCTGGAGACCCACTGAAGCCACTTAGGTGGATGCTGCTTCTGCTCTTCGCTTCTCTTCAATTTGCTTCTTCCTAGTTAACAAATTCCTTCATGCGCATAATGTGGTCTTGATGCTCACAGTAGTCCCAGTCATGACGTTTATGTGCACACCCAAAGATATTAGGGAATTTGTCATGTTTGCACTTCATCAGTTTAATAAGATAATGGACACAATAATCACGCTGCTCCAGAGGAAGCTGAGCATCGTTCATCTGCTCCTGTGTTGCTATCGTTACGCGTTCCTTGCATTCAGGGAAGCTGAAGGTGGGGTCGAAGTTAGGCATCCAGAATGGGTTGGGCTCTATCTCCGCGTCCCACAGGTAGCACCAACTAATTAGATCCAACTAATTTCAAAGGCATTTTCACCAATTCTCAAAGTGAGTTGTTATTACAACAAAATGTTAGCTCTGAAATGGACAGGCCAGCTTTAAACCTTTAAAGAAAATTAATTAATAATGCCCTCCAGCATTTCACAGATGAAAACTAGAACGTATGTGATCAAGAAACACTCAGTTAATGCAAACTACTTTTGCCACTCAGTTAACTAAATGCAAACTACTTTTGCACTTTGAACTCAGTTTGCAATAAATAGGCTGAGGACAAAAGAGTCCCTTTAAAATTCGGAGGAGGACGAAAGAAAATGGAGCAACTAAAAATAAGATGACAGAGGATCAATTGGCACTGTCCCTGCTCAACTAGACAGTAAGAGGGTATAATTAAATATAATTAAAATGTTCAGATAAATGTTAAAACGTGGCTGAAAAGCTGAATGAGCCATTCAAAGACACATGAATGTGGCCCTATCTATCAACTTCATGAACAAAACAAATACCATTATTGACTGCTATTCATGTAGGTGGGGCAATCAATGGATGTTACATCATACAGTGTCTCAGCCTAGATGCTATGAGAAATAAGGAACCACTCATTAAAATCTAAGACAATAGAAAGAGATCTTGTATTGAATGATCAGACCCATTGGTCCAAAATTCAACACTGTCTGCAACTGTACTTGGGTTTTAGGGTAGAAGCTTTCCCAGCACCAGAAAATGCTAGAAGTAGAACTAGGAACCCTTTTCATGGAAAGCATTTATTTTCCTACTGAGCTATGGACCTTTTCCTGCAAGAACACAGCAAAAATTACTTGCATTGGTATTACTGCTGAAGACTTTAGAAAGATGCTGCTGGTGCCAATATAATGAAGACGTCAGTGAAAGCTGTGTTTCCTGTAAATCAAGGTAATCTCTAAATTTCATTTCATCCTCTCAGCTAAACCACAAATTACTCATTCTTTGGGAAACCCACGACATAAAATTATTAGCCAATAATTCCAAAGTTTCTAGAGTGATAAGAAAAGCTTGAGAAATTACTATTTAAACTACAACTCCCAGAATCCTTGGCCAAGGACCATCCTACCTGGGAGATACTGGATGTTACAGTTCAAGGAAAAAGTGACTTTCTGAACTCTGAGACCAAGAGACCAGGCATTACTCTTGCCAAGGGTGCAGTTGTGTTTCCTGAAAGAAACACTTTTATTGAAATAATATGTAATATTTTTATATTTCAAATGCACAATCTTATTATTAAGGATATGTGTTTCCTAGCCAAGTAGTCCATTCACATGACACTAAGAGCTATGTGAAATGCCAGTTGACATGAGTCACGGGTGTCATCCCAGATAATACCATATGTCACATTTCTTTTTCACCTTCCTAATGCGCATGACGCAACTGTGTCCTGTTAGAACTTCTAATTAATTTCAATAGAGAGACAGCACACTCCTTTCGACAGGAGGAGGCATTGTTTCCTTTGTTCTGAAAAAGATATCTTATGATAATCTAAATGAACATGTAAAAGTGTGAAGATTGCTCTGGATCTATGCACATTGCTACAAAAATGTGCCAGAGAGCTGTACAAACTCTGTCATTAGACAAGAGGGCACTATTTATTTCATCATATAATGCCTTCATGCAGTCCCATAGCCAGAAAAAACTCTCTCTTTCTGTGTGTGCGTGTGTGTGTGTGAAACCATTTTTATTTTTTAAGCAAATCATGAAGAGTAGGTCCATAACACAAAATAATTTAAATCCTATTACATTTTAGAAACTACATTAAAATACCTTTAATCTTGTACCTAGTTATGAAAAAATACTTGATCGTTTATGAAAAAATAAAATATAACCTTTTATCATAGTTGTTCTATACCTCAAAACATCGTAAATTATATTAAACTTACATTTTTCTTATGGAGTTTAACCTGGGGAGCTGGATTCTGATATCTGTTTCGGTAGATTATGTCATCTTCATGTGAAAAAAAATAATGACTAAACGTCTGTGGTGTCAAAACTTGGTAACTTCTACTATGTCAGCTATTGCTGCTATTGCAATGTAAATAGGTGGAAAGGTAGGTAAAGATAGTGTAAATAAATTATCAAAATTTGGTTATTATAATGCTTGCAGTTCTGGAGGAATTCTAATTTTTACTTCTCATAGACTTAAATGGGGATTTTGTTAACCAGTTAAAATTCATGAGTAAACCAGGGTTTTTTAACTTGATATTTTTTAGGGTGGGTGGAGTGTTGAACCTGTAACACACCTCCTCCTTGGCTACGGGCTTGTCTTCATGCAAATTGTTATAGAAACATACTCTGTCACAAAACCTCATTGTTTTGTGAAGAAAAAGTGTGTATTAGTCCCTCAAATTCATGTAGGTTGGTGTTTTGGGCCTGACTCTATGCTTTTATGATATTGTTGTTATATGCCTTCATGTCAACTTCACGACTCAAACTCTGGACTCCTAGCATCCTAATCCAATATTCAAGCCATTACACTGAATTGGCTGCTCTGAAAATAAGCCCTCAACTACCTTTGTTCTTGCAGTAAGAACCTTTATCAACTACGCTCCGAAAGAGATAGACCAAGAGAATGCCTTCCAGGGGAAGAGATCACAAACATCTCTTGTTGGCTTTGGAGCACAGTCCTCTCATGAGATCAAGGCAAGTAGATCAATCCCAGGATGCATTATTGCCAGGTGCATAAAGATCCTATGCCTTGTTTGAGTCCTTGTTGAAGAGCATCCATTATGCTTCCTTTCTGCAACTGAGCTCAAAAGAAAATTACCTCAATGTCTAACGGAAACTAGTTGTATACAATACATTTTGGTTAAGGCTGGAAGCAGGCATGTAGCGGGGGGGGGGCTTGAGGGGCTTCAGCCCCCCCCCCCAAATTCTCATGGTGGTTCGCGAAAAGGCCTTACTGGTGCATTATTTATACTGTTATGTTTATTCATATCATGATCTGATCACCATACTCAATATATCCCATATGCATGGGGGTATTGGGGTAATGATACAAAAGGTTTGCTAGGGTAGACCCTCTTTCACTCAGACTCAGCCCCCCCCCCCTGAAACTCAGCCCCCCAACCCCCCCCGAAAAAAATTCAGCCCCCCCCCCCCCCCGAAATGAAATCCTGGCTACGGGCCTGGCTGGAAGCATTAGACCTCCTCCCGCAAATCTATTTTATACAACAGATTTTCTTTTCTCTTTTAAATAACTGTTTATAATGCAGATTCCTATGCCCTATAAATTCCTATACTCAAAAATAAGTCTCGTTGTGTTTCACAGAGCTCGCGTACAGTCAGATGTCCACTGGGTGGCAGCCTAAATGAAAGACTATCTCTGCTTTGCATTTTCTCCAGATCCAAAATATCCAAAAGGAGCTCAAGAAACTTGGAGTCTGCTTTTCACCTTCCTCTGACATCAAGAGTCTTGCCATGGGCATCCTGGCTAATGATCCTGGTGCTCCTGATCGATCCCAAGGCAAACTGAGGTTCTCACTTCTCTACAACAAGAAACAGCTTGAATTACTCTTGACTGTCACAGGGGCTCTGGGCCTCCCTAGACTTGAATACAGCAATACCTTTGTTCAGGTCCGGCTGCTAAGCCAAGCCACCTCCTCTTCCTCTGATCTTCAGCACATTGTCCATGAATGGCAGACTCAGGTGGTGAAGTCCGACAGCAGTCCCACCTTTGGAGACCAGTTTGCTTGCACTTTGAAGGAGACGGAATTGACAAAGAGCAGTGTCAAGTTAGAGGTGAGGAAACGTTCCCTTGCCCCCCACTTTCATAAAATTAACCTAAAGATGTGTGGATGAGCTCCCTCTGTCAGCTCCAGCTCCCCATGCAGGGACATGAGAGAAGCCTCCCATGAGGATGGTAAAACATCAGAGCATCCAGGTGTCCCCTTGACAACGTCCTTGCAGACAGCCAATTCTCTCACACTAGAAGCGACTTGCAGTTTCTCAAGTCACTCCTGACACACACACGCAAAACCTGAAAGATTACTGTGGGAAATGTGTCTTCTGCCCTGCCTTCCAAGATCTCACAATGGGGTACCTTAAACTAATGCCACTTAAAAACACTTATTAACATGTCAATATAACTAAATAGACCAATAAGGCCAAGATGGACTGATGCACACTGAATCAATGAAAGCTTTGGAAAGCTTAGGTGCCAAAATGAGGTCACTTTGGGCATCAGGCAGATATCAAGGGAAGTTAGTCCACAGCTCAACACCACAATGGAGAATGTCCTATCCCTATTATCACATAGTGTACTGTTTCCGGTACCAGGATACAGAGGATTATAGTGTCCCCACTCCTTGTTTAGTGTCTTAGGAAAGGAAAAGTTGCAGAAAAAGGCAAGCCACCTGATGATCAAGAAGCCAAAGCAACATCTTTGTGATAAAAGGTTGCAATTTCAGTGACTGAAAGTAGGATAGAAGTGTGCAGAATTTGGCACAGTATAGAGAAAATGGATCAAACTCAGTTTTCCTCCATCTTTCATACTAGAACCCATGGCCATCTTGTGAAACTGAATGGTGCTTAATTCAGGACATCAGAACTAAATCATATAATTGTGTACAAAATTAGAGTATACATTCTGTGACAGAAATGGAAACAGGTGTATTATACCTGAATGCATTGCAAATCACACAGTACTTAAGGGTTATTACGTACAGTTTGAGTAGTTCAAAGATAACTCCGAGTCTTCTGGAGTGGAAAAAAGCAGGTTTTTATTTTCAGCTGTGCACTTGAGTAGGATAACTCCTTCAGTCTCAGATGCCCCAAGTCTTAAATTACTCCCCAAGACAATTTGGCATGTATAGGAAACTATGGGTCACTTCTCGAGCCCTGAGTTTGCAAGTTCGGTCTTACAAAAATGGCTGGAGGCATTTATCCCCAGTGGCTCCCATAACTGTAATGGTGCATTCTGTGACTAGGGCCAGTTGGGTAGTTAGGACAGACTTTTCATCTCTGGTGTCTATCAGAAATCCACTGGTTGGGATCCTACTCCTACACTGAATATGGGGTCCCTGGACCCCAGCTTGAGGACCCAAGTCATCTTCATGGTTGTTCTCCTCCTCCGATCCACTGCGGGACTACTGCCAGGCCTACAAATCCTTGGTCTCCTGAGTTGAGGCAGATAAGAGTAGGTTGGGTTTGGCATGGTTCCTCGGGTCGCCTGGTTTCTCTGGGGGCATTAATTCTTCCAATGTCCTTTTTGTCTGCAAATTGTGCACTAGTTCCTTCCAAGAGGTTGGCCCTATCCTCTTCCTCTCGTTGGGCCCCTTCGGACTCTTATACGTCCTCTTAGCCTGCGGCCAGGCATTAGAAAAGAAAAATTATTTGACACCTATTTGACACCTCCCTGACTGTTGTGCCTCAGTGCTGTGAAATCAGGGGAATTGTAGTTCACTCGCCTCTTTTGCTCCTTTTGTAACTTAAGAACAGGGTACTTAAACTTTAAATATCTTGTCTAAAAGTTGAAATATTAAAACTGTTGGAGTCTTTCATTCATTCCTGTTCCTGACCCTGGTTCAAACATGCCCAAGCCACAGTCAATATGTGGCCTCTAGACACTGTTCAAATATTTGTGTTAGAAGTATTAAAGGAATTTAAATAAAAACTGTTTATTTCTCTCATTTTTATTTTTAATTTTATGATCATTATGATTCCATAGGTGAAATACTTTGACAAATATTCTCGCCACATACCACTAGGAGAAGTCAGGGTAGCTTTGAACACCCTCAAGGCCTTTGAAAACATGGAGTTCTGCAGGGAGCTACAGAAAGCAACCAAGGTAATGACCCATTTCTCAGTAGCTTTGGAAATGATCTCTAAACCCCAAAATAATGGTTGTATTTAGTGCTGACAATGAACCAGAAGTATACATTTATAAGCCTTGGGCAGCATTGGTCCCACTTTCAGCATCTAGGATAAATTCCCCTTTTTGGTTTAAATTTTGGTTTGAACCTATATTGATATTGGAGACATTCTTTCTATCTTCAATTCTATAGATCTGAGAAATAGGTGAACAACAGCATTTATTAAAATAAACACACAATGGGATTTGGCAAGATATTATGAGAGAAGTTAAAAATGTTTTAGATTTACTTCTTTAAGCCGCAAAGTAGGAAGGTGGTGGTGGTGGTGGTGGTGGAAGTGGGTAGTTTAGTTTTAATGGTTAATATCAGGTGGATATTTTATTTTGTTTGTGTAAGTTAATTTGTATGTAATTGTAGCGGATGGTTTTTCAATGAAATAAAATGAATTGGTAAAAAAAGAAAGATATCTTTAAGTCCAAAGCTTCTTTGTCTTTAAGCTTTCTAGCTTATTCTAGGATGCAGTTAGTAAGTGAAGTCTTTGCGTTACCAGTGAATATGCAACTTCTCAGAGTGTTGCAGTATTTTCTGTTCCAGCAGGTGGCAATGGACACTTGAGTTCCCTGCATTATAGAAAAACGAGAACAGGAGAGGTCCTGCAGTATATTTTTGAGGTTCTGAAGTTTCAACATAAATTCTGCCTTTAGGTCCAAGCTTCAAGTGTAATTCAAAACCTCTTACCCTATTAGTGATTTTGCCCAATAGCACTTATGTCACATAATCTTTGCAGCTAAGCCGAGGAAAGCTTTATTTCAAGCATTATGTGGTGCAACAATAGCACTTACTGACCTGATAGCAAAACATCTAATGACAAACAGCGAAGCAGCTCTGCGATATTCACTGCATGCAGGGGGTGCATGGACCAACCTCTTGTTGAGCGAGTGGGCTTATTAACGGAAGACCCTCTTCATAAATCCACAGCAGAGTAACTTATCAGCAGCAATGTGACCCAGCACCAGTAGCCCAAAGAACAAAAATACACAGATCAATGTTATATCTTCCACAGGAGGCTTTTCTTTATAACAAAATAATATGGTTGCACTATTTACAAGAACAAGGTTTCAATGACACAAAGTTTAACCTTCACACTGGAGCTGCACACACAAGACCTTCTCATACTGAGGCTTACCTCACACTGAGGCCTTCTCACACAGACTAAGGCCTACCTCCCACTGAGGTTTACTAAGCTGTAGGCACACCTGCTTATATAGAACTGCAGCTTTTGCTAAGTCATTGCGTCTATTTAACCTCTTCAGTGCTTGACTCACATTTTTGTAATTAAAAATACCTAGCTAATTTTTAATATTTCTGCCAACCCTTTCCCTCATAGGAGCTGCTCTTCCTAGTTTCTAGTGCTCCTTGTGCTCAAATATACCCAGCATTAGGGGTGTGAGGAATACTTGCATATTTTCTCATTCTTAAGAGATAATGCATCTGAACATCACGATGGGTGGAAGAAAGACATTTCTTTAACATCTGATTTTTGGGCAGAAATGTTTTCCCCACTGAAAAGGCTTGTTACACAAATGCAAGGCTTTCCCATTAAATATATATATATTTCAGGACTTTTAAAAATATGTGCATTTTCTTGTAGAAAAGTCCTAAAATGACTCAAAGATTGATTTTTTTTTTAAAAAAAAATCCTTTTGTGATCTCACCAGGAGGGAAGAAAATAGTGTAAGTTTGAAGTTGGTAGCATATGGTTTCATAGACTGAGTCTACTCCCTCAAACACATGGAGTCTAGGAAGTCTTATGCTACCAATTTAATTCTTTCAGTTAGTCTCTGGAGCCTCAGGTAGTGCAGTGGGTTAAACCCTTGTGCCAGCAGGACTGCTGACTGATAGGTCAGCGGTTTGAATCCGGGGAGAGCAGATTGAGCTCCCTCTGTCAGCTCCAACTCCCCATTCGGGGACATGAAAGAAGCCTCCCACAAGGATGGTAAAACATCCTGGGCAATGTCCTTGCAGATAGCCAATTCTCTCACACCAGAAGTGACTTGCAATTTCCCAAGTCACTCCTGACCAAAAAAAAAAAAGGTTAGTCTCTATCGTACTACAAAAGAGTCCTTTGCATACTGATATTTCAGACTAACATGGTTATGCTTTTGAATTAAGTAAGAGAAGATTTATATCCCTACCCAAAACCTTGATTCAGCCAAAAGTGTTTTCTTGGATATTTTCAGGGAATTTTATCTTTCTCCCCAAAATTTAGCCTCTAAAAAAAAAAAGAAAACAAAACAAAAAAAAAGGAAAACAACATGCTCCATAATCATAATTTGTATCTTAACAATGTAGATAATTTCAATTTGTGGGTGTAACATTAATGTGTTATTTTTCATGGCTTGATAACGGGTTACGTAGTCAATGATTTTTCCAAACGATAGTTGCCGCACTACCCAACATGTAAATAACCTTCTTCCTGGCATTGCATCATGCACTGTGTTACAAATAACTGCCTTTTGATAGCATATTTTTCTTCTTCTCCATTCTCTACATATTACTTGGATGAGAGAGTTCCTTTTGCCTATGCCTGGAACCTGACAATTCAATATTATTCTGTAATTTAAAACTTAACAGAGCTGCCCTGCTCTGTTAAGTTTTAAATTACAGCAGCATACTGGATTCACACATGTTATTACTTAGAATAATGTTCTTTCTAGTCAGTCAGCCATTGGTCCTTTCATGTGAATGAAGCTACATGAGCTAAATGAGTGTGCATATATTCATTGTTCGGTTATTACCAGAAAGGAAAAGGGGCACAAGGAGAACTAAACCCTGCTGCCCACCCCCTTTTTGCAGTGCACAACCAAAGAACAGGGGTGCATTTCACACATAGCACATATGAACTGCTTTTGAACCTGGCTGTGAATACATTGCAACATGCAAAACTCCAATGCTAAGTTTGCCTAAGTAAAAACGGGAGGAGGCCCTTTACCTTTATGGTTGTGTGAAAGAGAGAATTTTAGCGGATATTGCTTGTTAGCTTGTTCCATGGCAGCCAACATCTGCTGAACTTCTCTCCTGTGCACAATAGTCATGTGTGTGTATTAATATAATGATTCATTAAAGCGCAACAGAATCAAAGTTTACTGTGTGCACAGAAGCTTATGGTGGCTGAATTTCAAGGCTTGGTTGATATTGTTATTTATATAATTCAGTCTGAATCCTAATTTGCTGTAATACATCCAGCACCCTGTCTCTTCATAATCCTAGCTGGACCCAATGAACTGCCCTAATTGTCCCAAAACATCACCTCTGTCCCTCCATAGCCTCATCTGTTCCTCTGCTCTTCATTGCCCTCTAACTCATGTTTCTAAGTCATTTCTATTTTTAATTTGTATTTCTGTCATACACACTGAATTAAAAAAAATCACATTTAAACATTTAGTCAATTGCAAATCACCTGCAGATAACTTATTATGTACACTGTATGCCCATCCATAATAATAGTTTTCCTTAAAGTGCTGGCACTGGCCTATAAAGCCCAAAATGGTTCTGGCCCAGTTTACCTGTCTGAAGGTATCTCCCTCTACAAACCTTCAAGGACTCTTAAGATTATCAGGAGAGGCCCTGCTCTCGGTCCCACCACCCTCGCAAATGCGACTGGTGGGGACGAGAAACAGGGTCTTCTCAGTGGTGGCTCCTTGGCTGTGGAACTCCCTCCCAAATGATATCAGATCTGACCCTCCCTTCTGGTATTCTGAAAAAAAATCAAGACCTGGCTCTGGTGTCAAGCCTTTGGGCAATAGATTTGAATGTGATTGATTGATGCGACCGGCAATGGACTGATCTTGGATCATGATTTTAAACTGGTGATATTTTAGAATTTTAAATCTTTGAATGTTTATTGTTGTTTTAATGGTTATTTTAATTATGTTTGTTAATTCAATGTCTGGCATCTAATGGTTGCCTGTTGTAAGCCTCCCTGAGTCCCCCCGCCCCTTGGGGGTGAGATGGACAGGATATAAATGCTTTAAATTAATTAATTAATTTCTATAATGCACACATTTTTTTAAAAAAAATACCATAGTCCAGATCATTACATTTATCCCAGGTTTTATCATTTCTTAGAGGAATGAACAATCTTAAAGAAGCATTTGCCAACTTGGTTCCTGGCACTTTTGTCTTCAACATTTCTTCCTCCAGTGTCATTGCCTTCACTGTTGGATCAACACGCCCCATCAACAAAGAGGCCAGTTCCTTGAGGTGTAGGCTCCAAAAGTAGTTCTGCCTCCATACTCCTGGTCAGGTTTCCTTGGCTGAGTTAAAAACCAAGTTGTTACTTTAAGACAAGGGACCTGTTATATATTCTCCATCACAGCCATTTCATCAGTAAAGGCATTCACATCCCAATGCCTGCTCTTCTGTTCACAGGACACTGTTGGGGAAGTGCTTGTTTCACTCAAGTGCCTTCCTATCTCCCAAAGAATAGAAATTGGTTTACTGAAAGTTAAAACTACTTTCCTATGTAACAATGCAGAGAAGCGTAAGTATGTTGATATTCTTGTTCTTTGGTTTTTATTTGTTTATACTACAGTAGAGTCTTGCTTATCCAACATAAAAGGGCTGGCAAAACGTTGGATAAGTGAAAATGTTGGATAATAAGGAGAGATTAAGGAAAAGTCTATTAAACGTCAAATTATGTTATGATTTTACAAATTAAGCACCAAAAGATCATGTTTTACAACAAATCAACAGAAAAAGTAGTTCAATACACAGTAACATTATGTCATAATTACGGTACTGTATTTACAAATTTAGCATCAAAATATCTCAATATATTGAAATAGCTCTGGATCCAGGCAGGAGGCAGACTGTGTTGGATAATACAGAATGTTGGATGAGCGAAGGTTGGATAAGCAAGACTCTTCTGTACTTCTTTCAAACATGTATGCTGGAAGTGTGATTGAAAAGGATATATATATATATATATATATATATATATATATATATATATATATATATATCTCCAGGTGTATGGTCTCTGTATATGAGGAGGAATACGTGCTTTACATGCAAAACATCCCAGTTCTGATCCCTGGCATTTCCATGTAGGACTAGGCGCCTATCCAAAAACTTGGAGAAGAACAGTGTCCATCCTGTGTCCTGAGCTGAGCAGACCAATGGTCTGAATCGACAGAATACACTTCCTGACCATCTTGTGGCAATTTTGTGCATCTTTGAGCTAGAACTTCACCAAAATGAAAATACCTGGCAAGATGATTGTCTTGTCCTGCATCCTCATACATTAGAGACATATCTTGATAATCCAGTTCAGTTTGTAAAGCACTCTGATCTCTTGAAGCAATAATAGTAATACATTAAATTACTTCAGTCCTTACTGTCTAACTGAAAATCTAGGTTTAGTCTCTTAACAGAGACTTCAACAGATACAAAGCCTCTTCAAGACATTTGTGACTTTTCCACATTTCTAAGAAGACTGGAAACTTGCTTTTTCTTGTTTTTTGGAACTCTGAAGCTTGCTTTTGTGTCCCATTTTTACTTGAGATTCTCAGAATATTTCTCATTGCCATCTGTTATCTGACTGCTTTTTTGCAATTCGGTTTGGGATGAACATGCTCTGAAGCCTGTGATTTATTTTCCCTTAGTATCCCTGTTCACACATTCTACTTGCAGAGAGTGTATCCCTATTGTAATATCTCTTACAGAGGAGATGTAAAAATAGGGATAATGCTTAGCTTACTAAATATTACACACATTTTAGTGTCAGAAAGCTCTAGTGCAATGGATCTCAATCTGTGGGTCCCCAGGTGTTTTGGCCTACAACTCCCAGAAATCACAGCCAGTTTACCAGCTGTTATGATTTCTGGAAGCTGAAGGCCAAAACATCTTCACATGTTGAAAACCATTGCTCTAGTGTTATATGGTTCAGAACAAGGCACCTCACTATGGTATGAATTCCTGTTTGTCATAAGAGAGAACGAGTGGCAGCAAACTGCTTCAATTCTGACACAGCTGCAGGGAGGGTGTGTTTTATTTTGATATGGGCAATCCTCACACTATTTCTTTCCATTGTTCAATCAATATTTATATATAAAACCTTCACCTAATCCCAAGGCATAGCTAGGATGTTGTGATAAGCAATTCAGACATTTCAAGAACTTGTGATCTCTTCATCTTTTCTGATGTTCTTTCTGTTCCAGGTATATATGCCAGGATTGATGTCTTCTGCAACCTTCACAAGCAGAAGCACCAGAAATCCAAGCCCAAGACTCTTGCATCAGTGACTGTTTTCAATGAAACATTTTTCTTCCAACTGCCTGAGCCCGTAGTCTGGGACTGTGCTGTCCTCATTTCAGTTTATGAGATGCATCCCAAGAGCAGGCAGCTCGTTGGACAGGCGGCCTTGGGGAAGGGGGCATCGGACAACCCCAGTGATCACTGGGAACGCATGATGCAGTCCATCCAGCAGCCTGTAGCCAAGTGGCATCCCTTGGTTATTTGAAAAAAAAAAGTCAAGGAGGATTTTGAAGTGGGAAGGAGGTGAAATGGGTATCCCTCCTTCATACCAGATGCTGCTCCTGCAGCATTCAAAATGAGTGAATAATGAATAATGTCTGGAATTGCTTGGTCAGGCAGAGCTGTTATCCTTGAAGCACTCATTTAATGAGGGATTCATTCCCACAGGTGTTTGTTACCATATTGCTTTGCATTATGTTTTGCACTGTGATTTTTGTGGTTGAAACTGGGAGTGTTTTTTTTTTAAATAGCCATTTTATGTAGCCAAGATCCTATTTTAAAAAAAATAACAGCAAACAGCACTCAAATTTGAGGTCAGATCACTGTGAAATAGTTTTGATGCAGGGTTGTTGCAGGTTTTTTGGACTGTATGGCCATGTTCTAGAAGCATACTCTCCTGATGTTTCGCCTGCATCTGTGGCAAGCATCCTCAGAGGTGATGTCTGTTGGAAACTAGGCAAGTGAAATTCATATATCTGTGGAATGTGAAATATCTTTCTCCCATCCTGGACATTCCACAGATATACGAATTTCACTTGCCTAGTTTCCAACAGACATCACCTCTGAGGATGCTTGCCACAGATGCAACCCCTAGAGTTGGACATGACTAGACTTAATGTCAGGGGAAACCTTACCTTACATTATTGAAATTAAAAAAAACCAGCCTGACAAACAAGGAAAATGTGTATACACATACTTTTCTAGACAGCACTCTTACACCCAGATTCTTCCTCCTTATACTGAGAACTGGAGAAGAGGGGCTAGTTTCATAACTACACCGGCATACATAATATCTTCCAAGAGGGGATTTCACTCCTTATGTCAGTATCAATTAGTCTTTCCGGCATCAAAAATGCCTTGTGATTTTATCTGTAAGAAACTGTGGCTGCTGAAGTTGTGATTTCTGGACACTTTTCAAAGCTGGTATAAAAGAGCCTGAAACTCTCAACAGACTATTTTGAAATGTCCTTTGCTAATACATCTTCACTTTTCACCGAGGGCAAGTGGAAATGTAAAGTACATAAAAACATGTGTATTTTGTATGTAAACATAAATAGAATTACTCTGAAAATATTTCTCTGTTTCTTATAGTACATGTATTAGGTTACTTTAATGAAAATATCCTGCCCTCAATCCAAGGATCGGATTTTAGTGTGCTATGAAAAGGTTCAACAAGGTCAAAGAATTGGATAACTCTTGAATATTTGTGGTTGCTGTTCCTGAAAATCTTTTCCAGATTATGCAATCTCAAAGTGACCCTATCATGAGCTTTTCTTAGCAAATTTGTTCAGAGGAGGGTTTCCATAATGTTCCTCTGAAGCTGAGATGTAATCCATGGGTCTCCAGTTTCTATTTATATCAGGAGGACCCAGCTTACGTGGAATGAAGGGCCCCGGGTCGGGATTGGGGCCTGTGGTGGCGATGATGATGGTGGAGAAGCTAGTACAAATACTGTGGTCTAGAACACGGCTTCTTAATCTTTTTCCACTTGCAACCCTTTTCTGACCAATAATTTTTTACATGATGCCAGGTATATAGATATATAAAAAGAGGTGTAAAATCAAACATTTGCTGATAATAAACCAGCATTTGCAAAGCTTGCTAAACAAGCTGATTTTCTCTTTTGTGGAATACACTGCACATTGCCGCCTACAAACTGTTTTTTTGTTACCTGAGAGAACATCTCTCGAGAAATCTTTAGGTCTACCAGGGTAACTCTGTAGTTAATGTCCACCAAAAGTTGAACATAGAGTTTGTTGAGTGAGTGGTCTTATTAACAAAAGGCCCTCCTCATAAATGTACAGCAGAGTAACTTATTAGTAGCAGTATGACCCAGCACCAGTAGCCCAAAGTGATAAAAAGAACAAAAACACACAGACCAATGTTATCTCTTCCGTGGAGGCTTTTCTTCGTAGTAAAATAATATGGTCGCACTATTTACAAGAACAGGGTTTCTATATCACAAATAAACACTTTACACTTTATTCTTTGCTTCTACACTGGGCATCTTTCTTACGCAGATAAACAGCTTCACTCTCACAGAACCTCCTCTCACATTGACATGACATAGGAGTTTCACATAGTAGCTTTGCACACAGCTTTACATATGAGGCCTTTAACTTGGAACTTCTTTCACCAAAGCTTCTCACACTCGGCCTTCTCACACTCAACCTTCTCATAGATTAAGGGCTACCTCTCACAATCAGGCCTAGTAACAATGAGGCCTATTCTCCCACTGAGGCAATCTCTCACACAGAGAGGCTTCTCTCAGACCGAGGTGTTATTAAGCAACAGGCACGCCTGCTTTTATCGAACCACACCTTCTCTGAGTCACTGCATCGATTTAACCCTTTCAGTGTTTGATTCACACTTTCGTGATCAAAAATACCCAGTTGATTTTTAATATTTCTGACAGAGTTGCACTGGAGGATGCAGAGATTCCTAGAAAGTGCATATTCATTGATTCTGCAAAACTGAAATCCAGAATTGTGGATGGTAGACTGTATTAGTCCCATCACACCTCACAATTCATCATGGTTAATTAGGCCAATTCAATAACATAGTTGAAAGGTCACAGGTTATCCAATATGGTACATTGGTGGGGCCTATGAAGTGTCCCTCTGTGCAATCATGTGGTGAAATTCAGTCCCATGGTGACTGTTCCTCTCTGTTACTTTTTCCTGTGAAAAAATTCCCCACAGGGTGTGTGATTATAACTGTGTTATCAAAGTCGGCTGAGACAATGAGCTACAAACAGGTTGTTTTTCGTAATGCAGTACAGCAGAGGTCAGCCCATCCTGTTTGTTAATCTCATGTTGTTCCTAATAATTATTTTTCAGAACTTGGTGTCCGGTTCTACATCCTCAATGGGCTTCATTCCTTTATCACATTACGTATTTACACAGAAAGTGATAGGAAGACCATGGTGTGACGTATATAATAGGAAAACAAAGTTGCAGTTTGAAGAATGTCAATCCCAAACATACTTGTTTCCCATCCATCAATCATTCTGCCAAGTCTTGTTTCCTCTGGGAACTGCTTTCAAGAGATTTTGAAACATTCCTCCTGGTGAACTTCAAACTAAATTTCTCACTGACCTTGGTATAACTTCTCTCTGCTTTCAGAATTTCAGAGTAACAGTCTCAAATACAGACTGCATTGGCCCAACATATGTTTACTTAAATCATTCTGTGATGCCTGGCAAGGCATTTATAGTCTATCTTGACTTGGTCAACATTGTGACATAGGACACAATCTCTTCGGTTTCTGCGGGAATGTAAACTATGTACAGCCTGCTCAACTCTTGGCTTCCCTTCTGGATTCGGACGTGAATATGATGGCTTGAAACCTATGTTTATATCTCACCCTGGTGACATGTGCTGTTCTGGAGCTGGAACACAGTGTAGGAAGGATGCTTCGTTGCACGTTCTACACTGCTTTTCACTACACTGCAAGCCAACATGAACCCAGCACTTCTACACTATCATGTATCCAAACCATGTTTTTACACATGTCCTTCTCCCTTGCAGCCATTTTAACAGAATTGCAACAGCACACTGTAGAAACCCTTTGCCTTATTTATTCCTGCAGGCATTCAGACAGACAAAATAGCTTGTGTCCCCTTTCTGGCGGTTTTCGTCTCCATGATGGAAAGAGATCTTAAGAGACAAATTGATTAGCTTTGGTGACTATAAGTGCATAACAGAGTAGTGAACCAGAAAAGATGTTAGTCTCATGACTTCAATTACTGTATTTTGGATTATTTTCAAAATATTTGGAGGCAGGTGATAACAAGAAAAAACTTCCTTGATGAATATAAAATAGGGGCTACATCAGGAGGAGCTTTATATTGATTCTTAATTACTGCTGGTCGGAGAAAACTATACAACACATATATTTATGTTAAGGAGTCTCCAGTGGTGTAATGGGTTAAACCATTGTGCCAGCAGGACTGCTGACTGATAGGTTGGTGTTTCGAACCTGGGGAGTGGGCTGAGCTCCTGTCTCAGCTCTAGCTTCCCTTGCAGGAACATGAGAGAAGCCTCCCCTCAGGATGATAAAACATCAAACATCCTGGCATCCCCTGGACAATGTCCTTGCAAACAGCCAATTCTCACACCAAAAGCGACTTGCAGTTACTCAAGTCGCTCCTGACATGAAAAAAGAAAGAAACTTATTTATTTATTTATTCAAGCCGGAAGAGGTGTTTTCTTAAGTCATGAACAATGTTTGCCATAGCATATGGGTTTTTTCCCCTTATCTGCATATAGTGTGCTTTGTTTTGACATTGGCCATTAGAAGGTAAACAAAGGCTTAAATTTCTGAGACATGGTTTTCCAGAAAATAATCTCAATAGCAGGGAACAAACTCTTAGAAATCTTTGTCTTTTCCAATAATTTGGTCATGTGCATAGATATGTAATTTGTTAGCTGTTAACCCAGGGAAGGTGACAACGGATGAACATACATATTGCTAGCACCTGTGTTCTACACCTCCAATTCTTTCTTCAGCAACAAAGCTAGGTTTCACAGTTCAGTTGGCATAAACCAAATTGAACTGACCTGGCTACAGGATATGACATTAACTGGATGCAGATCTTGACATTGAGACAACCTCGGCTTCTGGCCCTGGAATTCTGACAGGGCTTGGCCATCATTAGTTCTATAGGTAATGAGAATGCATTCCCAGAGCTCTATGGAACAAAATACATGAGTGTTTCATTGAACACTCTCAGCTCTGTACTCAGACCAGTTAAACCCATGGTTCTTGCAACCATGATCATCAGTGCTCAATGCCTTAGTTATAAAAGCCCAGAGGTCCCTAAATCTAAGATATCTAAGAAGCACTTGGCTACCATAAACTTATGCTTATTATTCTGAACTGCATCAATCCAACATATTGTCATTGAGCATGTTCTAATTTCAGAGTGGATTTGGCACAGACAGAATACAACTCAGCATGTTTCAAGAATTTGAAAGTGTGCCTTGTGCTGCCATAGTCTAATTTACCACAATAGAGTTGTTGTGAGGAATGTCACAATGAAAATTAGTGTGTTGTCACAGTCATGGAAGCTTTCCTCCTCCGACCAAGGAAGAAAATCACACCATTGTCTTTGCAGCAGACTATATATATATATATATCTCCTTGAAGTGACTGGCTTGACTCTGAAGGAGCTGGGGGTGGTGACGGCCAACAGGGAGCTTTGGCATGGGCCATGAAGTCACAAAGAGTCAAAAGCAACAGAACGAATAAACGTCAACAATATATACAGAGTCTATTTACAGTGGCTGAAGACTGGAATACTTCTCCAGCCTTCTTCTCCTGACACTTCCAGATAACTGGAGACTTCTTGCTTGTAGCAGGTTGGTTTTGTAATCCAATTCTTCTTGATGCTCCAATCTTCAGTCTCCACAAGCCTCTCAGAACTCCAATCTTCAGTAAACTCCAACTCCTCAGCAACCTCCAACCTTCCAACAACTCAACAATGAGTAACCCTTTTGCTCCTTTATTACCCCAGCAGTTACTTCACCCTGGCTGTAATTACACAATGCTAGCCAGGTATTTTGGCTCTTACTGCTTGCTACCCTGATTCTTACACTACTTGTTACATAAGAAATGATAAAAACTCTGACATAGTAGATGTGAGTACGGCCTTTGAGGTAGGAGAGTGATGTACTAGAAATGAAAATAGATTTAATAAATATTAATGTGATTCATAAGACAATGCCCAAACTATAAGAAATACATGCATGCACGTCTCTCTTGTTTTTCTTATCGACCTGACCAACAAACAAAATGGATAGTCTGTGCTTGTTCTTTTCCGTTGCCACCTTTACTGTTGTTCTGTGTACAACTGGGGAGTCACACATTTCACAGGTTGATCTAACAGGAAGGGAAAGGATTACTTCTCTATACAGAAGGCATGTTGCACATTCCTTACTCAGAATTCTGAAACCAGAACTACTCCAAAATGCAGGGAGGAAAGCAAAAAATCTCCCCCCA